ATCCCCAAACTTAATCCCCAAACTTCATTTTCTTGTTTAATATCTCCTTCATAAACTTTGCATAACTTGACATCTGTTCTAAAGCTTCAGCGAAAAGAATATTGATCGTTAACTTCTTAAGTACGTCCATGAACTTTGAAAATTGTTTATTCAACTCATGTTGTCTAAAACTTTGAGGAAATTGAGGTGGTGATCTTTCTAAATTGATTTTAGTTGGAGATATTAAATTTTCCAGATCCTTAGAAACATGTTCTTTAGGTATTTTAGTTTCCTTTATTTCTCTTACAACTTTCTCTTTTCTAACAACATCCTTTCTCTCTTCCACTTCTTAATTGGACAGCGTCTATTTGTTCATCTTTTTTCTCTTTAGGATTGATCTCAGTGTTGCTAGGAAGTATTCCTTGGAGTTTATTGCAAAGTGAATTAGCAATTTGTCCCACTTGATTCTCTATGTTTCTAATCACATCATTTTGACCTTTTAACTGGTTTCCCAATTGCAATACCACTTCTTCTATAGACATTTTCTTATCCTCAAATTGTTGATCATTGTTAAAGTCCGGTGGATATGAAGTTCTATAGTTTGTGTTCCCCTAATTATTCCTACTTCCATTAGAATTTGCATAATTATTTTGTCATTGTTGGTTTCCACCACCAGTAGTATGATACCAGTAAAGATTAGGATTATTCTTCCAACCTGGATTGTAAAAGTTAAAATACAGTTTGTTTATTGTATTTAAAGTCTCATAAGATAACTTAGAATCAATCATATGCTCTAAGGAACTTTCCTCACTTACTGAAGTAAATTGAGGTTGGTTCATTCCAAATTGGTCCAACTTCCTTGATATTGTAGCAACCTGAGATGCAAGAATTGCAATCACATCTGTATCATGAACATCTTTTTAGGATTTTCCCTTGCAAAGGACCATTGAAATTCATTTCTAGTCATTTCTTCAATTAACAAATATGCTACATCAAATGGTTTTTGAATTCAATGATCCGGAATGATCCACCCACGGTAACGTCAATTGTAAACCTAAGGGATCCTACTAACTCATTGTAAAAAGTTTAAATGATTAACCAATCGGGCAGAACATGGTGTACACACTTTCTTAGGAGTTCCTTAAATCTTTCCCAGACTTTGTATATTGATTCCCCTTCATACTGACAAAATGAGATAATCATTTCTAAGTTTAGTTGTCCTCGAAGGTGGAAAATACTTAGCTAGGAATTTCTGAGTTAACTCCTTACAATTTTTAATAGAGCCAGGTGCTAACGAGTATAACCACATTTTAGCTTTATCCCTGAGTGAGAAAGGAAAAAATCTTAGTCTAACAACATCGTCTGACATACTGTTATAATGAAATGTAGCATAAAGTTCTAGAAAACTTGATAAGTGTAAATAAGGATCTTCCGAATAAGTTCCCCCAAACTGGTTGTTCTGCACAAATTGGATAATCGCTGGATTAATTTCAAACGAGTCGGCTTCTATGACAGGGGTTTATATACTTGAGTGAATTTCATCTATCATATGATTTTCATAATCCATCAATGATTTATGATGATTTTCTAAGTTATTATTTTGAATGTTTTCCATTTTCATTTCTAGTTTTTCAAGTCCTTCATGTTTTTTGATTTTATGTTTTTTGAAGACCAAATTAGTGGTTTTAGCCTATCACTCTAAAGTCCTCTAATTCTACGTCCATTAAAAATTATTTTCCTATTTATTTGCACTCAACCATATAAATTACATTCTCATTCATATAATCTCATGTGATCATATAATCTCATGTCTACCACAGTTGATTGAGACAACACTATCCCGGATCTTACATATTCTCACAACAGATTTTAACATGCAAGTTAATTAAGTTTACATGTAAATGAAGAACAAAGTAAAATCATCATAATATATTCTCAGTCTACTCAATTCTATATCCTACACATGCATACTAATTTATTACAAGAGGGAAGAGTAAAGAAAACTGCTCACTACACATGGAAAAACAACAAAAACTTTTCGTTGAACAAGACTTTGAAACCATACAAACAAAGTATTAGATTTAAATCAAAATACAATGAAAATACTTATCTCTTATGAAAATCAAACTCTTCTTGTATAGCAAAAACAATCTCCTTACAATTCCAATCTCCTTACAATCCTCTCTCCAATAACAAAGTGAAAAGAAAAGAAGAAATCTCTCACTCTCTCTCTTTCTCTCTAGAAACTGAGAGAAGGGTTGATCCACTTGGGGCTCACGCCCAAGCTTTATTCTTCTTCTCCAAGCCTTCTTCTCCTCTTTTAATTAATTCAAGAGTCCAAGAGTTTTCAAGAGAGATTTTGAAAGCATTTCCAAGTCTTCTTTATAATTTTACAAGAGTTTCTTAAGTGTCTCTTCAAAAGTGTCCAAATTCATTGAATCTTCCAAATGGTGTCTGAAGTGCCTCTTCAAAACTCCATATAACCGCCCAAAATTATTCTAGAAAGTCCATTTTATCATTTCCAATGAATTCCTTAAGAGATGCACAAAGCACCGCTTAAAAAATGATCCAAATCCAACGTATATTTAGAAGATATGTTGAAAACCGTCTCCGGCGCCTAAGCGCCGATTTTGGGGCTCTTATGTGCCCTCCTCTCTGTCTGGTGGCGTCTAAGCGCTGGGCACAGACACTTAAGTGTCCAGTTTCGGTCCCCGTGGCTCTGGTGTGCCCCGATTTGACCCGATTTACTTCGATTTGCTCCGTTTTGGTCCATTTTTGTCCCTTTTGCTCTAATCACTCCAAATTCTTCAATTTGATGTACCTACAACAAAAAACACAAGAAAACATATCTTTAAAGTGCAATATCATTATAAAATAAAGCATGAAAAATAATACATTTTTAGGCGTATCACCGATCACCGTCGACCACTGCCCATCGGTCATCATTGACCACCGTCAAATTCTAGAATTCTGGACAGAAGACACAATTATAAATTTCGGCTCCCGTAGATGCCGATCACCGTCGAACACTGCCCATCGGCCATCATTGACAACCGTCGAATTCCATAATTCTGGACAGAAGACACGATTATAAATTTCGGCCCCCGTAGCTGCCGATCACCGTCGACCACTGCCCATCGACCATCATTTACCACCGTCGTCTGCTCTCTATTCACCTTCGTCACTTAACCTACTGATGACATGATGTAACAAAGCATCAGGAGGCAGAAGACACGATTATAAATTTCGGCTCTCATAGCTACTGATCACCGTCGACCACTGCCCATCGGCCATCATTGACCACCGTCGAATTCCAGAATTCTAGACAGAAAACGCGATTATAAATTTCAGCCCCCGTAGCTGCCGATCACTGTCGACCGCTGCCCATCGACAATCATTGACCACTGTCCTCTGCCCTCTAGTCGCCTTTGTCACTTAACCTTGTGATGAAACGAAGTACCTCGAACAAGATGTAACAAAGTATCCTATGTATTGTGCAACGACTTATTCCAAATACAATGTATTGAAGAACCGACTATAACTTCTAGTGGCAATTGTTTTTTATCGTTGTATTCAAAATACAATAATCTTTTTTATATTGTGTACGGACAGACATCGTCAAATTCCAAAGTTATTGACAGAAGACCCGATGATAAATTTCAGCTTCCGCAGTGGCAGATCATCGTCGACCACCACCCATCTGTCGTCGTTGACCACCGCTGTCTACCCTCTAGTCGCCTTCTTGAATTAACCTTGTGATGTAATGAAGTTAACTCTAACACGGTGTAATGAAGTATTATGTGTATTGTGCTAGAACGTAACCCAAATAAGACCAAACGATAACTTCTAGCGGTAAGTCAATGTTGGCTTTGGGATTTATTGTGGCAAATGACACCTTAGCCCCAAGCTAATTTAATATGTGAGTTATTGGTTAGGTTTCAGAGCTAATTGGAGTTTTACCTTGGGCCTTTTTGTACATTCTGTTGAAGCTATTAGATGCTGCTAGATATTTTGTTTGATTTTGGATGGCTTGAGCGAGACTAACTTCCATGATCAAATGATCAACTCATTAACTTGAGCGGGATCATCAAATCATTGTGGCATGCCAAGGACCTGTCATATGGTGAAGTATGATGTAAGGTTTGTTGAATCTGAGTTGGTTAATGAATGTTTAGTTAACTATTATATCTCATTTTTTAATTCACGTATATTTCATAGGTTCTTATGTTGACACATCAACTTAAGTAGGCTTGCCAGGCTTATCCTGTCACACAGAGGATTAAGTTCATGGTGAAGTGCATCTCTTTAGGGAAAAATAATATCTTAGAGGCTATTTATTTGGCTAAAAATGAATGTATTAGAATCAAAATATAGTGTATTTGACATATTACAGTTATTTGATTAGATCTAAAATCCATACAGGAGAATATTTTTGGCTTTAGTTTAAGATAAATAAAATCAATATAAAACCCACAGGCAGGCAATCAAGACCTGGTGATAGTAGGCAACGCCCGGCGGTGAGCGGCGACATCGGGCAGCAGTCAAATGAATCATGCTATCATACTTTAGAGAGAGAGAGATAGCAAGCCTGTCAGAAAACAACATTTTCATTCTTTAGTAAGTTGAGAGCCAACATTCCTTCTGCGGAATTATTAGATGCCAGTGGCGAGCTAACCATTCTGGTCGCTCCAGTGTTGGCATTGACAAACCCGTTGACACTCTCACATCTATAAGCTCCTTAAAAATTCTTTCTAAAGTTCATCTGTCGCAGTATTTGTTACCTAATAGTTAATAACCTTGTATCTTATCAATTCATTATCTTCATTTATTTTTGTTTAAAATATTTAATTAACAGAAGTTATTGATCCTTCTAATTATTTTCTTTATTAGATCAGGTATTTATTTGAAGCTGTGCTAGATCATTAATCACCATCATTTAACTTTTTGTCAACTTCCGCACCTTCATTTCAAACAAAATATCATTCTAGCCACATAGCTAACTCCATTTCTGCTTTTCCAAGACAACCCGGCGGACCAACTGGTTGCAGTGATCAATGCAAACCGGACCGCCGGCAAGTCTCCAAAGCTCTTCGACAACCCTGGACTTGGCTGCATTGCACTGCAGTACATAAAAGCCTATGAAGGCCAATGCAGCGAAGTCGGTGACATGAAAAAGCCTCCGGATTCCGACTTCGCCGACACCTTTGCTCCCAACTGTGGTGTCCAAGCCCAGACCCTCACTCCCATCACCGGCCGCTTTCTTGGCTGCCAGTCCACATATGTTAGTCCTGAGGAAGCCTTCTCCAGTTTTCTCATCCAGAATTCACAGGGTCTTAAGATACTCCATGGTAAGAATCACACTGAGGTTGGTGCAGCTGTAAGTGGCACTGACGGCGGTTCGCCGTACTTTTGGTGTGTTCTGTTTAGCAATGGGAAGAAGAACAGTAGCTTTGCCTTTGAGAATGGTCAGGCGAAGTCGGTTCACCCTGGTTGCTTCAGCGGGAACGACGATGATTGTAGTTTTGCAATAAGGTTTGCAGTCCATGGCGGTGGGATCTGGCCAATGCTTGCTCTGGTTTTCCTTGGAGCGGTTTATGTTCTTTGATTGGGTTTGTGAGAAAAGTGTCAAAATAGTTTTAACGCTTTTTGGAGGTTCATTTTAGAGTCCCAGCGTCTCTAAAAGTGTCATATTAGTTCTCACAATAGTCCCCATTAAAAAAGTAGGGACTAATTTGTCATTTTTATAGACTCTAAGACTAAAATGCCCTCAAATAGATGGTCCGTTTATTATTTTGGCACTTTTTGGGCTTATTACTATTACTTTGGGGGATTTACATAATATATTATATTCATATATCCAACAATTAAATTTTTATATTTATTTATATAACATCTTGATCTCTAAACCACATCAAAAATATCATTGATTTATTATTGCGAAATACGTCAATTTTTTTTGTATATACTTGATGTGATTTAAACGTCGCGATGTTATGAAACATAAATACAAAGCTTTAAGAGTTCTATGGCATATAAATCCTCCTGTTAGTTTCCATTCTTTCAATTTATTTTGGTGAACATTCACATATGTTGTCTTGATGCAGTTGTTCCAAGGTTTCTGGTTGTCCTTCAAAACATTCTTTCACTGTAGCCATTTTGTTATGCAATTTGCTTGTTGAAATATTCTAAAATATTATTTTTCTCCTTGTTGCATCATATGCTGTCTTCTGTTACTGTAAGGAACTATTTATATTCATTGTGAATTGCATGAAGAATTGTTATGTAGTGTTATGTTGCAGGCTAATTATTCAATTTGTTAATACTTTTACATAATAAATGTTAAAATGATAGTGATATTTTGCTATTATGTCCAATAATTGTTTATGATCTTTTTCAATTTAATTACAGTTGAAAAAAATGTGAAATATTTGAAGAGTAATATTAGTGTTTTATTAACTCCAACATCATAATGTTGACATATGAAATGCATTGAAGCAAACAACTCCAAAGAATAAATCAATGAGTTTATTCCTTGTTTTAATGGTTCAAATTTAACTTGAATTGAACCATACTAAGAAAAACCACTTAGTTTCTGACATATCATTCATTTTGCAGCAGTATTTTAAATCTTGATATTTAATCTAAAGGGCTATGAGGCGTTGACCTCCGGACGGTGTAATGTCGTGCTCTCAGATTTATGAACATGGGCTCGATGAGCACTAGCGTATAGAGCAGTCGGGCTCCTGGAACTAGACGGAGCGCTGCGCCACCCCCTGAATTGATTAATACAATTGGACTCCATATAACTGCATTAATCTATGATATGTGTGCAAGTTCTCTTATTTTCTTTAACCCTGAATCATTTATTTAACCAAATATGTTTTGCCGTGACATATTATAGAAAATTGGATGATCCCAACTAGGGCTGTCAAAAAAGCTCGTTGTTTGCAAACAGTTCGTGTTCGATTCGTCAATGAGTTCGTGTTCGATTTGTTCGATAAATAAACGAGACAAACGTGAACACATTTTTTTCGTTTGAATAGTTAAACGAACCAAACATGAACAGTGATGCGTTCGTTCGTGTTTGAATCATTATTGTTCGAAATATAAAATAATTTAAAATAATTATATATAAAAAATTTATGGTATTTTAAAAAATTAAATTTTATAAACTATAATATACTAATATAGATATTATATATTTATATAATATGAGTTATATAATTAATATAATATATTATTTATATATATATTAATATTAGGGATGTCAAACTGGCTTGTCGTTTGCGAGCAGCTCGTGTTCGGCTCGCTCGGTAAGAAACAAAAACGAAAAGGGACTTATTTCAAACACGAGCTTATTTCAAACAAACTAAATTTCAAACGAACCGAATACGAACACAAGCTCTGTTCGTTCGTGTTCGGTTCGTTTACACCCCTAATCCCAACCTAATTAAAAATGAAAAAAATAGACTTAAAAGTTTCTATTTATTTTATGTTTAACGAAGAACAAATTTAAAAACAGATAAAATTTTCCTAAGAATTTATTACGGCTAAAGTCTGTTAAAAATAATGTCATCCAATACTTCTCTCATTATAATTGAAATTTTTTTCTTACGTCTCATTCACTGCAGGTTGGAACAGTAATTTCCAGAGCTGACTTTCTGCCAATTGATAGCCCTTCAAATAAAATACTTGTTGGTGTAAAGTATCATAACATAAAGTAAACCAAAAAAAAAAATGATATATATACCACACAATTGTTATGTATGTACTAATGTACATACCTCAAATCTAACCATTTATACTTATATTTATTAAATTTTAGTACGCTATTCTTAAATTTTGAAAATTACATTAAACAAGAAGAGGAAGTTCAAGGCTCCATGGTTAAATCGGGGTTAAACCTGTTGTGAAAAACAACGGCAAAAAAGCGAAAAATCAGATCGAAAAATTGCAAACCAGAAAATAAAAGTAAACACTCAGATTTATGTGGTTCGACAATTTGTCTGCGCCCACGGAGCTGTAGAAGAATGTATTACTTCGAGAAATTATACCGTCGTCGATTCAACGATTAAAAGGAAGAAAGCTCGTTCTCTCTCTCTCAAGCATTTATCTCACTCTCTCTACCCATCAGTCGCACGGATGAAGAAGAAAACCAGGAAAGAGCAAGCGATTCTACTTATCTAACCCATGAGCCAACGCTGAAGAAATCGCAAAGGGGAGAAGCTATTTGGTTTCTTGCTATGAACTTCCTGCTCCCTTTTAATTCTTCTCTTTTTGGCCCATTAAGGAATGCTTTCTATTACAGGAAATTTGAGGAGACAGAAAGAGCTGAGGTAATTCGCGAATCCCAGAGGAAGAGAAGGCTGGAAGGTTGAGCGTGGTCTTTATGAGGAAGGCTCGGCATAAGCTTTAAGAAACATTTTAAGAGCAGATAAATTAGAATCAATTTATCAAGTGATTTCCATTAGATGAGTGCATTAAACATAGGAGGTGGACTGGTCTCCACATATTCAACAATTCTCGCACTTGGAGACTAGGACATTGACTGCATCACCCAATGGCTGCACCATTTGCTGGTTGTGCCGACCTTTTCCTTAAACGTGATATCCTCCACCTCTGCAACTCAAAACCCGTCTTCAAACTAGAAGACCAACTGAAGCTACACACAACTTCAGTTCTCACGAGTAACCCCCTAGTTGACATATCAGCATCAACGTAACATTGCACCTCCAAGATCTTTCCTGGGTTACTCATGCATCTGCTTACAACTCCCACTGCATGGGCAATATCCTGCCTCTAAAGAAATTTTTCAGCAAGTCTAACATTGTATCTCTTACTTCCATCAAGCTCAATCTTCACCCAGTACACCTACTTGTTGTGCAATGTCTTCTTCCCTGGTGGAAGTTCTGTCAGCTCCCAAGTTTGATTCCTTGACGCGAAATCTGTCTCCTCCTTCTTGGTCAACTCTCACTTGCTCAAATTCTTATCTTGCAAGATTTCTTTACAGCTCTGACTCATGTGACCAAGCTTGCAATGCCGCAGATCTTTCGTGCTCGCTGCAACTGTAGTAGCAACTGTGTTGAGTAAACATATAGTCATATATAGTGTATCAATTTTCTTACCTAAAGTCAAAACTAATGCTCATTTCGTAACCTTCCTGGTGCTATTTGAGAACACTATTAAATGACCCCCCTCATGGAGTTGCTCAACAGAAATGAGGTATTTCTTCAACTCAAAAACGTGTCTAACCTTTTGCAAAATCTATTTGCTCTTTTAGGGAGTGCAATATCAACGTCTCACATCTCTAACACTTTCAGAGCTTTTTCATCAGCCAGATATACGTTCTCAAAGTCGTCTGCATCCTCATTTTGCATCAACTTTCCAGTGGGAAGATGTATGGAAAGAAGCCCTTGAATTAAATATTCAGTCATCAATAGAACTGTGAACTGTCAGCAGTAGCATATCTTGCACTTCTTCAATTACAACATTAGTGCTATTCTTCTCATTCTTTTTGGGATTTATGCAGTTCCTTTTTATGTGGTTAGTTTTACCATAATTCTAGTAAATTGTCTGCTGACCAGACTTTGATTTTGATTTTCTTATGTTTGAGTTAATGTCCTGTGATCTCCTTTTGGAATCAACATTCAATGTCGAAATCGAACCCGAGGTCTCGCCGGAATCTTTTTTGCACGCCTCCCTGCACACCTCCTTAGCCAAAATCAAATCACAATATCATCATATTTCAATTTAGATTTGTCTGTAGAACTGCTAATTGTCATGCTCTTGGTTTCCCAACTATTTGACAATGAAACTAACAGTATCAGCGTAAATATCTCATCGTCAAAATTAATTTCAACAGACGACAATTAATTTGTGATAGTATTGAAATCATTCAGATGTTGTACAACAGAGGTACCTTCCGTCATCTTCAAATTGAATAACTTCTTCATCAGATATACTTTGTTATTCGCCGATGACTTTACCTGATAAATTCATCATGAGATCTGCAGTAGTTCTCTTCTTAATGGCGTTGTGAGCAGCCGATCTTGACAGAGTTAATCGTGTAGTCCCCATAATCCGTTGATCCAACAGATTTCATTCTGCCACATCAATCTTTTCCGTCTTCTTTCCCAGTAACGGCAGGTGAAGTTTCTTCCCCGAATCCCAGAGGAAGAGAAGGCGGGAAGGTTGAGCGTGGTCTTTATGAGGAAGGCTCAGCATAAGCTTTAAGAAACATTTTAAGAGCACATAAATTAGAATCAATTTATCAAGTGATTTCCATAAGATGAGTGCATTAAACATAGGAGGTGGACTGGTCTCCACATATTCAACAATTCTCGCACTTGGAGACTAGGACATTGACTGCATCACCCACTGGCTGCACCATTTGCTGGTTGTGCCGACCTTTTCCTTAAACGTGATATCCTCCACCTCTGCAACTCAAAACCCGTCTTCAAACTAGAAGACCAACTGAAGTTACACACAACTTCAGTTCTCATGAGTAACCCCCTAGTTGACATATCGGCATCAACGTAACATTGCACCTCCAAGATCTTTCCTGGGTTACTCATGCATCTGCTTACAACTCCCACTGCATGGGCAATATCCTGCCTCTAAAGAAATTTTTCAGCAAGTCTAACATTGTATCTCTTACTGCCATCAAGCTCAATCTTCACCCAGTACACCTACTTGTTGTGCAATGTCTTCTTCCCTGGTGGAAGTTCTGTCAGCTCCCAAGTTTGATTCCTTGACACGAAATCCGTCTCCTCCTTCTTGGTCAACTCTCACTTGCTCAAATTCTCATCTTGCAAGATTTCTTTACAGCTCTGACTCATGTGACCAAGCCTGCAATGCCGCAGATCTTTCGTGCTCGCTGCAACTGTAGTAGCAACTGTGTTGACTTTCGTGCTCGCTGCAACTATAGTAGCAACTGTGTTGAGTAAACATATAGTCATATATAGTGTATCAATTTTCTTACCTAAAGTCAAAACTAATGCTCATTTCGTAACCTTCCTGGTGCTATTTGAGAACACTATTAAATGACCCCCCTCATTGAGTTGCTCAACAGAAATGAGGTATTTCTTCAACTCAAAAACGTGTCTAACCTTTTGCAAAATCTATTTGCTCTTTTAGGGAGTGCAATATCAACGTCTCACATCTCTAACACTTTCAGAGCTTTTTCATCAGCCAGATATACGTTCCCAAAGTCGTCTGCATCCTAATTTTGCATCAACTTTTCGGTGGCTTGAATTGAATATCCGTCATCAATAAAACTGGGAACTGTCAGCAGCAGCATATCTTGCACTTCTTCAGTTACAACATTAGTGTTATTCTTCTCATTCTTTTTGGGATTTATGTAGTTCCTTTTTATGTGGTTAGTTTTACCATAATTCTAGTAAATTGTCTGCTGACCAGACTTTGATTTTGATCTTCTTCTGTTTGAGTTCATGTCCTGTGATCTCCTTTTGGAATCAACATTCAATGTCGAAATCGAACCCGAGGTCTCGCCGGAATCTTTTTTGCACGCCTCCTTAGCCAAAATCAAATCACAATATCACCATATTTCAATTTAGATTTGCCTGTAGAACTGCTAATTGTCATGCTCTTGACTTGCCAACTATTTGACAATGAAACCAACAGTATCAGCGTAAATATCTCATCGTCAAAATTAATTTCAACAGACGACAATTAATTTGTGATAGTATTGAAATCATTCAGATGTTGTACAACAGAGGTACCATCCACCATTTTCAAATTGAATAACTTTTTAATCAAGTGTGCTTTGTTATTTGTCGATGATTTTTCATACATACCTGATAAATTCATCATGAGATATGCAGTAGTTCTCTCCTTAATGACATTGTGAGCAACCGATCTTGACAGAGTTAATCGTGTAGCCCCCATAATCCGTTGATCCAACAGATTCCATTCTGCCACATCCATCTTTTCCGTCTTCTTTCCCAATAATGGCAGGTGAAGTTTTTTCCCGTAGAGGTCGTCCTCTATCTGCGTCATTAAATTTTTTGATCCCCGATGTCATCACTTCGTCTCCGACCATCGTTTTCTTTTACTCTCAAACCAAAACTCTGGTACCAGTTGTTGTGAAAAATGACGACAATAAAGCGAAAAACCAAATTGAAAAATTACAAACTAGAAAATAACAACGGAACACACAGATTTACGTGTTTCGACAAAATTGCCTACATCCACGGAGCTGCAGAGGATTTTATTACTTCGAGGAATCACACCGTCGTCAATTCAATGATTACAAGGATGAAAGTTTGCTCTCACTCCCTCTCTACCCGTGAGCTGAACGGATGAAGAAGAAAAACAGGAAAGAGAGCAACACTAGTGATTCTATTTCTGCAACCCGTGAGCCAATGCTTGAAGAAATCACAAAGGGGAGAAGCTATCTGGTTTCTTGCTATGAGCTTCTTGCTCCTTTTTATTTCTTCCCTTTTTGGCCCATTAAGGAATGCTTTCTATTAGGGGAGATCTTAGGAGGCGGGAAGAGCTACCGTAACTCGCGAATCCGAGAGGAAGAGAAGGCGGGAAGGTTGAGCGGGGTCTTTATGAGGAAGGCTTGACAGAAACTTTAAGAAACAATTTAAGAGCCGATAAATTAGAATTAATTTATCAAGTGATTTTCATAAGAGGAGAGCGTTAAACATAGCAGGAGAGCTGGCCTCCACATACTCAACAAAACCGGGCGACATCAAAAAAATAAAAGTATTAAACATAACTTAAATTACATAATAATGCTATCGTATATGTTGTATAAAAAATATATCATGAAATATAAGTCATATGCGAGCTCAAACAATGATTTTAAATAACTCTAAAAAACAGTACTAGCAATCAAGTATTATAATCCAAAAAATATATTTCAAAAAACACAAAATAAACCGGTTCAACAGTTGGACCACTGGTTCAGGTTCATTTAAGTTCAACGTGGGGGCAGTTTTTAAGCCACCCAAAATCAGACCTCCGACAAATTCAACAGGTTCATTTAAGTTCAACGTGGGGGCAATTTTTAAGCCACCCAAAATCAGACCTCCGACAAATTTATGCTCTTATGCTCGAACCAGTCGAACCAGCCAGTTCGGTCCTGTTTTCTCATTTTTGTTTTACCTTTAGTAGTTGAGTGGTATTTTTGGCATGCAATTAATGATTTGAGTGCTGCAATTGTAAGTATTAAAGCCTGAAGGTTAGATATGTAAATATATAACAATTGTGTGGTTCGCATGTAAATAGACCGTCACTAATAACGAAGGCCCTCCGGTTTACGCGGGAAGAAATACCTTGCGATAAAAGCCACCGTCCCACACGTCCCGCGACCCTTTCCCTCCATAAACTGCTTCCACTCTTCGTATTCTCTATTTACAGTTTCTCTAGGGGCGTCATCTCTATTGAAACTTCCATCGATGCGGATCTTAAGGTCTGGCCGTGCTCTACCTCAGCCCCAACTCGAAACCCTAATTTCTTCACCAGAGACTTTCCCGCCATCCATGTCCGATCCATCGGTATTTGTCGCCAACTCTCGACGCCGACGTAGTGTGAGCTTGGCTAACAGCGTCTCTTCGCAGGTCACCGTGGCAGCTGATGAAGGTGGCTCCATGGGGAAGCAGGTATTTAAGGTTTCCGTTGCTGGTTGTTCTCACGATGCGAGGGAGGAACGACGCTTGAAGTTGCGGTCTAGGTCACGGGTTTCCCAGCAGAATTTCAGTACTGGTTCTGATGCTGTTGAGAAACAAGATGATAAGTCGGGGAGTTTGAAAGAAGGCGGGTTGGTTAATGGGTTGGTAGGAAAAGTGGATGTGGTTAGAGGCATAGATGATGATGATGCGTTCAAAGCCATTGAATCGCCTTCAGGGGTTGTGGTTCGATCTGTTGATCGGCATTTGGCGGAGGAGGGAGAGAAGAAGGGGGAGGCTTGTCTCGCTGCCCCAATGGAGGTCGGTTACATGAGCTTGCGATCTGGGTCTAGGGTTCCTAAGAGAAAGATTGGAGATGTTTGTGTTGATTCGGTATTGGTTAGTGAGAATGTTGATAGGTTTTCGGGCAGAGAAGCAAAAAGAATGGAGGTATTGACTCCACATTGTGAATGCGTTGAGAAATCTGGTGGTAAAATGCTTACCAATGTTGGGGGAATTGTTTCGGAGGCTGCTAATTGGTTACGATGTAGTGAGGAAAATAAGATGAAGGATGTGTTAGTTGCTGAGGAGGATCGATTGGGTATGGACATGAATGGTATTTTTTCTGGTGCTACCGGGATTGATGATATTAGAGTAAGGAACTCAGAGAGTGGTGAAATTGGATTTTATAGCAGAGAAGATGAAAGTATTGAAGATTTGATTTTGGAAGATTTGATGCTAATTAGTGGGTCTGAGGATGATTTGAATGCTGATCCAGCTCCTGAAAGTCTCCATGAGAAAAAGCCAATTTGTGATGATAAGAAATATCAAGTGAGGCCCAGGAGATATAGCATGAAAGAGAAAGGGAAGGCGAAGTTGGTTTCCAAAGAACTCACGGTAGCTGATGGAGAACAAGTTGCTGAACAAGTTACTGCACAAGAAGTAGAATTCACCGATGTAAGTGGTCCGAGGAAACAAAAAACTGAAAGCAGCCAAAGAAATTCCAGGTCCAGGAGAGAGGCCGCAAGAAATACTGCTATAGAGCTTGCTCCTCAGTTTGCATTTTTTAAAGCAGAAGAAGAAATAACTGATGATGAAGTCGAAGCTGATGATTTAATTCTTGATGCAAATGAAGAGGATTGGCCTGGGCCTTTCTCTACTGCCATGAAGATCATTGCAGAGCGAGAATCAATTTTAAGTGCTCGTAGCTTGAACTATTCTTCACTAAATAATGGAGAAGCGGAAGTGAAAATTCCGTGGACGCCTTCCAATGCACAGAGGCATAAGACCGTGGGAAAGTTAGCCCCCCAATTGAAAGACTTATGCTTGAAAGTTCTTTGTGAGAATGCGGAAGAGGTTGAATCACTCGAAGGTCTGCCTGATGTTATCAAGCATAACATTGCAATGTTGTTATGCCATTCAAGGAGGATGTCTTTTCGTCTCCTTGGTCTTCTTACTAAGGGTTCTCCCTTTGAGATATACTTGAGTGATTGTTCATGGGCGACAGATAAGCAGTTTGAGGAGGTTTTTTCTCAATGCAATATTGATAATTTGAAGGTGTTTTGTTCTTTCAACAATTTACCTTTTTTTCTATATTTATTTCATTAGAAAATTTACCCTTTTTTAATATCTTTCACTGTTTTTTACCCTTATTTGCAAATTTGAAGAGACTTATTTTATATTAAGTTGTCTGCTTGGGCATGGGCATCTTTAACTAAACCAAATTATTTGAGACCATATAATTAACATTGTTGGGAAATAAAAGAAAGACGATTTTAATACTTATCATTAATGTGAAAGCTATTATTTAGCTTTTACTACTATTACTCACAATTTTTTTTTTTTAATTTTTGTTTCTAAATTTTTGTTTCTAATAGAAAATGGCATTGGCCTTAATTTTTTTTCTTGCCCTGTTCTAAGTAGGTGTTGCAGCTGGACTTCTGTGGTCGTTGCTTGCCTGATTATGTATTGCATTCTACATTTGCTAAGGCTCCAAACTGTTTGCCTTCGCTTAATAGACTGTCTTTAAAGGGGGCTTATTGTCTATCGGATGATGGCTTAAATGCGATTGTTGCTTCAGCTCCACTTTTAAGGTCTTTAAACTTGAGTCAATGTTCTCTTATTACATCTAAGGGAATCCTTGCAGTAGCTGAAAAGTTGGAATCAGGTTTGCAAGAACTTTATATAGATGTTTGCCACAATGTAGATGCGATGTTGATTTTGCCAGCTCTGAAGAAGCTGACGTGTTTGGAAGTTTTGTCTATAGCTCATATGGAAACAGTGACTGATAAATTTTTAAAGCATCTGATTCCTATTTGTGGTTCAAAAATGAGGGTACTTATCATTTCTGGCTGCCGGTATTTTTCTCAGCTTATAGTCTTATTTATTTAAAAAGAAATATTTCCAAACATTAGTAGTATGTGCTATATGTTTCTGCATTTCAGTCCTGTGAATATCTTCTTCTCCGCAGTATGACATTTTAGGTTATCTTGAAGGCTAATTTACAGTTTGATGGGACTACTGTTCGACCCTCAGTCCTCTTTCTTATTGTTTTCCTGTAGACTGTTGGAAGATTTGCACTTTAAACTAACAGTTTTATTTTATATGCAGTAAATTGACTAATGCCTCAATGAAAGTGATTGGTGAAAGCTGTCGTTCCCTTTCTTATCTTGATATCCGGCACTTGGATCGACTAAATGATTCTGCGATACAGCATCTTGTCAATGGTGGTTGTCAATTTCAAACGCTGAAGCTTTGTCTTGGTGCATTCAGGTTGCTCTAAAAACCAATGTTTTTTTTTATGTTCAAGTTTGATTCTTGTTCTATTACCATTAAGCCGTCTCTTACAAGCACTGAGAAGGGTTGAACTGACCAATAAAAGATCTCCATTTATAACAAAAATCATCAATTTTTCCAAGGCCTGCCAATTTTCCAAGCCTCTAATAAAAGTTTCACTTGTTTGTAAACTAAAAAAAGAAAGAGCTTCTAGACCTTTTATTTGAAGTAAGAAAAGGTGACTTTCAGATATGCGATTCATTTACAAAGTGATATGGATAAGGCTTGCTGGTGAAATTTAGATGAGATTCACGAAGTTAATAGTGTGTTGTTGTGATGGGTGAAAAATTGAATAAAAATAGTTAAGTTTCTTAGAAGATAACCTAAACTGAATTGTGTAACAAGAAGTCCAGTTTTAGATTGTATGCTAATAGTTATGGAATTCAAAGGTTTGTAATAGCAGTCCGATGTCTCCTTCATGGTTGAAGAAATAAAAAATAAAATCTCTTATTGAATTTGTTTGGCAGCAAATGTTCTTTTAAAGTGCTACTCTATACATACTATTTTTTACAACTGCCGCAGACTATTGAGTTATTTATCATCACCCAACAATGGATGGAATACTTGGGCCTAACATTCATAAATAAATACATGATTTGATTGTTCTTTGAAATTACGTAGGAGATTGAATAATGTCCATAAACATATCATTACTGGTTATTTCTATGATTGAGGATGCATTTTTTTATGTTTTCCTCTACAGATAGTTGGTTTATTAATAGGCGGGAGTTTATTTAGAAATTGGAAGTTCTATCAAAGCTGGCTATAATTGCCTTTTGTTTTAACTTAAACTCAAAAAGAGCTTTTAAAGAAAGATTTGTAGGTTAGTATTGATGTAGAACTGTTGACCCCCATATGTGATGCACAAGTAGATTCAATTGAATTAATGACAAATGATGTAGATGAATGCAGAATTTTGGAAAATTGACTCAAAAAACATTTTGATTTAGTTGCTTGTTTCGCCGAACAGGTAATATCAATGATTAGGCCACTTGAAGGCTCTCCTTTATTGGGAGGATGCGTGGACTTGAGGTTTATTGCAGGTAATTGCTCGGATTTTATTTGTGGGACGATGATATAAGGATGTTTCGACTCATAATAATGATGTATTGCTCTTTGTAAAGGATGGTATCTGCACTTTTTTTTTGGAATTCTAGGAGGTATTACTCTTATCTTAAAATTTTAAGCATTAGCCATTACTAGGTTGACTGGTCTGCGTGTGTTGCACCTTAAAGGATCAAGCCAAATTGTTATTTTTCAAGTAGTGATATGGTCTAGTTTATCACAATCTCTGAGATGTTCAAATTTAACTCTAGACTAAGATTTATGACCGAAACACTTCGGAATATTTAGCTAGTTATCTATTAAACAAAAGATTTCTATCCTGATTTATCCTTACAGCTTTTTCCATCTCGACTGAGCTTGGTGGCTTTTTAGTTTAGCATAGTTGTTGTCAGATAATTTATCTTATTGGTTCATCCCTGGTAGCTAAACCAGGTTCTAACTAAATTAGTAGTGAAGATGTCAAGTTTATATTGATTTTCAAGTTGTGTGAATCTTAACTCTGGTTTCAACTTATTATTAGGCCCAAATATGACCAAGTTGATTGTTGATGAGATTAAATCTGTGCAAAGTGCTGGATTTGTGGACGCAACCCTACAATTATTATTACAGTTAAATTTATACATAAATGTGTCAAAACGTTACCTCAACATATTATTGTATAGATTTATTGAATCATTTCTTATTGAATTTTACCATTAAACAAAATGGTAGTGCCTTATTTGTTTAAATTTGAATGAGATATAACATTGTTCAATCAATATGAGGCAGCAATTTGTATGTTTCCTAGGTGCACACTATCAAAATGTATGGAATACACACAACTGTATTATTTTCGTTAGAGTTTTCAATATGACTACATTTGCTGTCCATTCTATGAACTTGACTTCTCTAAATTGCTTTTCAACTATTTTTTAGATTTCCTGGCCCTGTATTTTTACTTCATTTTGACTTGTGAACCTTGATGTATAAATTCGTATGACTTCATTGACTAAACAAATACTAAATCCCTATTGCTGCCAGGTATTTGGCTTAATTTAGGATGAAATTTACCTTCAACCAAGAGCAAATCTTGATAGTCCCACCATCCTCTCTTTATCTAAACACCCTTGATAATTGTTCGGTAGATTAATTTATATGCTGATATTCTGGTTCTTTTAAGTTGAAACTGTTGTGAGATATGTACTTCCTGGTATAGAAATGAAACGCAAAGAACACAAGCAAACACAAATCGTTTATGTGGTTCGATCCAACTGGATCTACGTCCACGGGAGGGAATCAATCAAATAGTTCACTAAGTTAAAAGAAATGGAGAATACATAGCTTATACATAGAGATGAGCCCTCATCTTCCTTCTATGACCTCCCTCTCAAGCGACACCTTGATACAAATCCTCAAGATGCGCTCCTCCTCTCTAGCTCTCTAGCTATTCTCTCCTCCTTTGTGGTAGCTTAAGATCTCTTCCCTTGCTCTCCTAAGCCGCATACCCTCTCTATTTATAGAAGCAAGAGAGTGGTAGGTGAGAGGTAGGTGAGCGATAGGTGAGATGTGGTAGGTGAGCGGTACCACATTACAAAAGTGTCATTTTACCTTAATTCAATAATTCGGGATCAAAATAACAATTCTCCACCTTGACCCTCAATTGAGGAGCTTCGAAGTAAAAATTCCCTCCACCTGGCTCCTGAGGGGCCCTCAGCCCTTGCTTGAGTTTGCTAAGTCCAAACAGTACATAGACTTAGCAATCATGATTCTTCCGATGATTCTTCCGATATAAGAGAGTACAACCCCTTTTTCCTGACTCCTTGGATGACGAGACGAGAGTCTTTGGTTACTCTGATGCAGCCATTCTCTGCCTTGACAAGAGTCTTTGATTACTCTGATGCAGCCATTCTCTGCCTTGAACGAGCATCCGCTTGACTCCAGCGTACCTAAAGTAATTAGATTTCTTTTGAGCTCTGGTACGTACCTGACATTTTTCAGTACTCGTTCAACTCCATCAAACATCCTTATCCTGATTGATCTACTTCCAACAACCCTGTGAGTTTTATTGTCTTCCAGTAGAACGAACCCATCATTTTCCTGTTGCAGTGTCTCAAACCAGTCTTTGTGAGGACACATATGGAAAGAACACCCTGAGTCGAGGACCCACTTCTTACTGGATTCAAACTCTGTGATCACCAGGGCCTCAGCAGAATTGTACTCATCAGAGGCTACGCTTGCTTCTCCTGATTTTTCTGGCTCTTCTTGGTCCTTATTCTTCCTTTCTGGGCAGTTCCTCTTGAAATGACCGTCCTTGTGACAATGATAGCACTTGAAAGATCCCCTTGATGACTGATTCCCGCCATCATTGCTTGACCTTGATCTGTACTGACCATTTCTTTAATCTTTCCCGTCCGACCTTCCTCTGACTATAAGACTGTCTCCGTTGACTTCCTTGTCCCTGTCATGCTTCCTCTGAAGTTCTTTGACTCTAATCAGAGATTGAACCTCCTCCAAAGTGATAGTCTGCACCATTTCATAGAGCATCGCATCCTTGAAATGCTCGTAGCTCTTAAGAATAGAGTTTAGCAACAACAGTGCCTTATCCTCATCGTCCATCTTGACCTTGAGGTCATCAATGATCTTGTTGAACTCGTCGATCTGCTCTGAGACAGATTTGTCTTCATGCATTTTGAAAAAGTATAGGCGCTGCTTCAGAAAGATTCTATTAGCCAAAGACTTTGTCAGGTAGAGTACCTCGAGTTTGGCCCAAAGTGCTTTAGCCGTTGTCTCCCTCGACACCTCCCTCAGAACTTTGTCGCCCAAGCTCAGGATTATCAAACTGTGGGTCTTGTCCAATATGCCGATCTTCTCCTTCTCGATCATATCGGCCGGCAATGCCGCCGACCCTTGCAAGGCTTCTGCAACACCCTGCTGGACCAATAGAGCTCTCATCTTTACTTTCCATAAGCCGAAGTCGTTCTTCCCGTTGAATTTCTCAATGTCGAATTTGACGGAACTCATTTTCGTGGCTAGGATTTCTTCCAATGAATTCTACCTGCTGCCCTTCCAAGAACTAGGCTGAAATCACCAAAATGTTGCACTTCTCCCCGTGAACTCCACTGCCTTCGCCAACCTAACAGAAAGCTCTGATCCCTTCTGGCAGAGATCACACCTGTTCACCAAAGAAAACTTCCTGTTCTGTGCTTGCGACTCATTCCCGCAGGCACTCCTCTGCATCTAGCGGACAAATCAGGAATTCCTCCTCTGCCTCTTGCGCGAGAATAACTCTCTCTCCAGAGCCGTCGTGCCTCGCCAAACTGCTCAGGTCCTCCTGCTTCGCGAACTCCCGAACAGGGAACTCCCCGAACCCTTCTCTGCGCGATCTCCACCTCTTCCCTCTGGTCGAGTTGCTCGCAAGATCGAACTCTTACTCCGAAATCCTCTGTGGCAGCCCTGTCGCAAATTTTCGGCCCTCGCTCGCGGACTGTTCCTCCTCCGTCTCGCCGAACCGCACGACCTGCGGTGCTAATCCAGTCGATCAAAGCTTCCACTGCTCATCGAATCTGTCGCAATTCGGCTGGCTGCGATGCGAACCGCTTGAACTTTTTTTATAAGAAGCAAAGTTATTCTGGAAAATACCCAAAATAAAAAAACCTTAAAGTTCCTTAAGTTTATGAAAACTAAGTTAAACGTCAATTGTTGTGAGATGTGTACTTCCTGACATAGAAATGAAACAGATTCGGATGCCTGCGACGCGATCCGCTTGCTCCTCTGTTCGTGAATGTCGAACTCCTCTTCTTCGTCGCTGGCCGGGAACACCTTTACTCGGACACCTCTAGCCAAGAAGTATGGATCTTCCCACAGGCGACGTCAATTGTTGTGAGATGTGTACT